GCTTTAAGTGGATGTTTCTTATGTCTGTGAAGCAAGGATTTGCTGAGATTCCAGTGTGTTTGTTGACAACAAAACTGTTGTAAAAGCACACGTCTGGTCCGAGTGTAACCCCGCCGGTCCTACGCCACCCAACCCGCTCCGAGCTGGTATCAAGCCAACGACTTTCCGCATGGGAGTCGGTTGCTCCACCAAGGAGGCTAAAAACCACCACCTTCAACTTTTGTCAAGAGCATGTTTAGAGGTCAGAGGAGTGAGGTTTACCTGTACATCATTTACTAGCTGGCCTCCGTTACAAAATCATCTACCCCGGCGGAGAAACTTCAGTCTATATCGATGGGGTATATGCCGAAGCATGCTAATAGGACTTTTAATTTGCCAGTAACCTGGGTTAAGCGCTTCCGGCGAATTGAATGCCAATGCAAAATCCGGTGCGTTTAAGATCTGTTTTCTTTAAAAATCAGCGATCTCCACTAGCTGAGTGATATCCGATTTAAAGTGGGTCTCAGATTGTACAAGAAGCACTGCATTAAATTTTATTTCCCCCGCCATATCTTTATAATATGAGCATTTATTTTACCCCAGTATATTCAAAGGAGCTTCTGCGTTACCCTGCTGATTCTGACGGGCGCGTGCGAGCTAACGGCTTTTTGTCTCATTTTACGCTTAAGCAACTAAATAAATGCTAAAGTTCATTTAACTGAATGTATTTTAATAACATTACTACATCGATGTTGTATAAGGAACCGTATAAAATGGGAAAAGTTCACAATAACAGGTCAACGGAAGTGTATCAGCATGAGAACAGCACTAGCTCGGCATATACCCTGTTGATGATTAGCTCCTGTACTAGGCGGGGCTTCATTCATCATATTAACGGTTACACTTTTCCCCATTCAAAATCTTACGAGTGACTCTTATTTTGATACGGGATACAGCAGTTTGTTTACTATGCGTTACTAAGGAACGGCTGATCCAGCCATCGCGTTTGTCAGAACGAAATATGCTGATTATAAAATTATTCAAGACCACCCAAATGAGGCAAAAGGTATGTTTACCTGTATCTTTTGTGAATTCATAGCGTTTATTGTGAAATTGGGAATGATAAGTTTGTAATCTGAGGTAACAAACACCTGTAGACTGCTGAGTATTGCTCGATTAAGCAATGTGTCGTATCACTTAGCTCCTACTGCAGTTTTTATGAAGTGAAATAATAGAAAAACAGAATTAATAGAAAAGGCAATAGAATAAAACGCCAAAAATAGAGCACTTTTAATACAGTATTTAGCAGACTTTTTTACAATTTGTATATTCTTTTAATATACTACTATTATAATTTGAATTAGTCGTAAATATATTTAAATGTTTAAAAGTAGGGTTCAAGTGTATTTCTAGTTGTAACTAAATATATATATATATATATTTTTTTTTTTTTTTTTAAATACAGATATAGTATGTTAAAAGCACAATTTAGTTCAATTTCATAGTGTCTCAAACTAGCACAATTAAGTACACTTAGATGGTATTAAGTTTATCTTAACATATACTTTATACTATCTTACATTAAGTACAAAATTAGTGTGCGAAAATAGAGCACTTTAGTACATTACTGAAAAGTGTACTAAGTATACTTAAATAAAGTGCATTTTAGTGCACTTTTTTTTACCTGGGGTGTGTTGGTGTTTATTTTGCAGCTAGTTTAGACGTCAATTCATCCTCTCCAAGTCATTTAAATTACAAAAATAATCAATTAATGTTTCAAATTGTGGGAAAATTACTACCTCAGGTGTGCATTACAGTACCATATTCTCCTAGTGTTAATTATCCCTTACCTACAGGAGTGGATGCTATAATGCATTTATTGCGGTTTCATAATCATTTCATGTAATAGAAAACATCAACAAGTGTCTTTTTTTGAGTACAAACACTGTAAGTGACTGAACTGCTGAGAGTGTAAATCTGTGTGTGTGTGTGTGTGTCCAGAGCATCACAGCACTATATGAAGGGTCTCCCGGCACCTGCAGCGCCATGACAACCGCTTCCATCTCCATGGCGATACAGATGACCTGACCTGACAGAGTGCTGGATATGATGTCAACTCATTTTATCATCTGATTCCACACACACACACACACACACACACACACACACACACACACACACACACACACACACACACACACACACACACACACACACACTGGACTCGCTCCAAATCAGCACTCGACCTCATTTAGCGCAGGTAAGAGTCCTTCAACTAACCAGTTTATCTTCTTTTAACCCCTTCACCCCATTTTTACTCGCGTTCGCAGATGTTCACTCCAAGATGTGCCTTGCATCGGAATCTGGCCATAGTTAGAGATTATATTCACAGAAATATTTTTAAATAGCAGTACGTTTGGGTTTTTTTGCACAAATTGACATTAGTTTTATTATAGAAAACAATACATTTTCAACTCGAATTCTCAATTAAATGGTGTAAATAAAATACTGATTCTCTAGATTGTAAATGATTTGCTTATATAATGCAATAAGCTAATACTATCATTAATTTACAGTAAATTAATCATCATTTTCCCTTATTTTTAGCACACTTTGGCATCTTTTAAGACAGAAATACTCGTATTCTCATTAAAATAATGTAGATAATTTTTAAATGTATTCTATATATTGTAAATGATTTGTCTATATAATACAAAAAGCTACAATATACTGTCCTTAATTTAAATTAAGATTTTCTTTGCTTGTTTGTTTGGCATTACTTTCAAGACAAAACAGACCCACATTGTCAATAAATCAATCAGGATGACTCTCGGATTGTCATTAAAATAATGTAAATTAAAAATGTGATTTATTCTTTAAATTGCAAACGATTTGCTCATATTATACAGAAAAGTACAATTATATAGTTAATTTAAATTAATCATGATTTTTAGCAAATTTTGGCTTTATATTAAAAAAACAAAAACACTCTCATTCTCATTAAAATGCATGTAAATTTATTTGTGATTTACTCATTCGATTGTAAATGATTTGTCTATATATAATACAAAAAATGACAATTTCTATCGTTAATTTAAATGAGTAATTATTTAGCACAATTTGGCATTACTTTCAAGACAATAAACACTCACATTATCATTAAAATAATGTCATTAAATAGTGATTTATTCTTTGTAATTGATTTGTCTATATAATACAAATAGCTACAATTTCAATTGTTATTTAAATTAAATTGTGTTTATATGGCACTTTGGCATTACTTCAAGATAGAAAACATTCATTCTCATTGAAGTGTATGTAAATTTATTATTGATTTATACATTTGATTGTAAATGATTTGTCTATATAAATCATGAAAAGCTACAATTTCCATTGTTAATTTAAATTAATTAAATCAATCATGTTAACAGTTGGATTATCGGTAATATAATGTAACTTATCATTTATTCTTTAGATTGTAAATGATTTGCCTATATAATGCAATAAGCTAAAACTATCGTTAATTTACATTACATTAATCATGATTTTTTCCCCTAATTTTAGCACACTTTCGCATTACACTTTCAAGAAAGAAATACTCTTATTCTCATTAAAATGATATAGACAATTTTAAAATGTATTCTATAGATTGTAAATGATTTGTCTATATAATACAAAAAGCTACAATATACTGTTGATAATTTAAATTGTGATTTTGTTTGTTTGTTTGTTTGTTTGGCATTACTTTCAAGACAGAAAACATCCACATTGTCAATAAATCAATCAGGATGACTCTCGGATTGTCATTAAAATAATGTAAATTAGAAATGTGATTTATTCTTTAAATTGTAAACTATTTGTCTATATAATACAAAAAAGCTAAAATTACTATCATTAATTTAAATTAATCATGATTTTGTTCCTTATTTTTAGCACACTTTTGCCTTAATTTCAAGACATAAATACTTACAATCTTTTTAAAATAATGCTAATTAAATAGTGAATTATTCTTTAAATTGTCAATGATTTGTCTATATAATACAAAAACACGATAAATACTTAAATTGTTATTTAAAAATGCACAATTTGACGAGTTTTTCAACTCACATTAAATTATATATTGTAAAAATTAATAATAAATCATACTTATTACAGTTGGACTAATGAATTACTTTTAGGATATAAAACAATAAATGTTCAACACACATTCTCTTAACAATAATGTAAATGAAATAGTTTTTATTTTATTAAATAGCAATCCATGCTTTAAATTTTAAACTGTTTACCTGTACAGTACAAAAAATGCTACAAGTACTCTTTAATTGAATTAATTTTTATTGAATTC